TACAAAAGAACAATTAATATTTTTTAATGATATATCTATGCTCTCACGTTCCAGAGTACTAAATTCTTTAGAATTTCGAAGTTTTAATTTAATAAGTCCAAAAAATCCATCTGGTGAGAATTTAGTATGGCCGGCCACCATAAATGAATATATAATTCGTTTATGCAAACCATTTAAAACATGCCACATTAAATATTTTATCATCATGTTATTTTTATTTTGTCCCAAGTAGTTGTCAGCATAGATAATAATGAATTTTTCTCCAAGACCGTGATTTTCGAAATAATGATGAAATATTGAAATAACAGCATTTGCTTCTTTTTTAACATCTTCATTTTCTTTAATTAAATAATTTGTCTAAAATATAAATTGATTTTAATATTAAAAAATTTCTAACCATTTTGAAAAGGAATTAAATCTTTACCAAAGATGAAATTTACCACGATATGTTTAATAATTATTATATGGGAATTCGTAAAAAGTTTAAAATTAAATTTTAGAGTTAGTGTTTAAGGTTTGAATTAAGGTAAAGGTTAGGGTTTTTTTAGGGCACTGAATATTTTACTTAGTTACTAAATATTAATTATCAAAGCCGTTTTTGAGAAACAACATATCTGGTAAATTTCATCTCCATAAGAGCTAAAATCGTCCTTTAAAAAAATTAGCTTAAATAATGAATACCTGTCGTGGAAAAGCTTCTTCACATATTCCAAAGATTGAAACTTTATATAGCGATTTGAAGTAAATTGATCTCTAAAAAATCAAAATAAATCAATATGTAAATTAATTATTTTTAAAATTAATATTTTAAAATAATAATTACTTCTTGTTGAGAAGAATATGGAAGATGTACAGCTTCAGCAAAATCCCACGAAATATGATTCTCGAATTCTAAAGAATTTAGTACTCTGGAACGTGAGAGCATAGATATATCATTAAAAAATATTAATTGTTCTTTTGTATTTAGTATACATCGTCTAAAATTTTAATAAAATAATTATTATAAAAAATAAAGTTTTTTCTCAATGTAGTATTTTATGTTGATATCTAGCTATTTTAGTATTACTTATAATTAAAGCTCAGAATTGTCTCGATATATTTTTATTAAGTACTTAACAGCAATAAATAAAAATATTTTTGACTATACAATTACTTTGTCTTTTAGAACTACCCGTTCTTGTATTCTGCCTATAAAAAATCTTTTATAAAAATTTTAATTTTTTAAATTATAGTTTTTTTTTGAATTATAAATTATATTAAAAATAGTTATTGAATTTTTTTGTTTTTTTTACTAAGCTTGATAACTTACTACACAATTATCTGCTATATTAGCTATATTATCATTCCTATGCTTTTGAGCTTTAATTATGATGTAAACTATATTATAAACAATACGAGATATAACGCGTACAAAATGACAAGACTATCGCACTTGTAACCCTGTGCAATTTCATAAGATAACATCATATCCTGTGCAAAATAAACTATTCGATTAAGAAAATTTTATTAAGAGGTAGTTCAGCTCTGAAGGGTGTAAAAAATAGCAAATTTCATAGTAAAATATAGTGAAACTTAATATAGTTTTTCTATAATGCAGAATAGGGCTCGTTTACATACAAAAGTATATTTTTTTATGAAGTAAACCTTTCTTGAGCTTTTAAGGAAAATTGTAGAGATAATTATTTCTCATTATAATGGTAATAAAATCATCACAAACTATCCAGTATATTTCGAGATATTGGTATTTTTTTTAATCATTTACATGGAGTTTTTTCTTAAGAACAGAAACACATAGCATTATAGCAACTAATAAATGCCTACTAATTTTACTTTGAAATTTATACCCTTTAACTGCTGACTACCCCTTAGAACTTTTAATGTATATATTCTTATCGCATAATACTCATAAACTTGTACAATAAAGTCATGCACAAGATATATAAAATATATACTAGGTGTAATTAGTGATATGCCATTTATATGATACCCGATTTTTTTTTTCGCGCACAGTATGTACAGTACGTATAGTGCATATAGTTGTTTCTAGTGATCTGATTTGTTTGGAGAATTCACTTCGAAGTGATCAGCAAAAATCTTTGTGTACAGTATGTACAGTACGTGCGTACAGTACGTATAGTACTGTATATGGTACATCACTAGGTATAATTGTGCAAGTGGTATATCTCTAATCAGGATGGCTCTGGTTTTCAAAAATTATTATAATTCTAATTATAAATTTTCTTACTTATAATACTCCTGTTCTTGATGTGCCCAATTGATATGGTCATTCCATTGTTAAACATTTTGATCTCGTTCACTTTCTGCTCAAAATTGGGCATTAAACCACATGTTTTTGTATAGCAGGCATAGGTCGCTTCGGGGTGATAAAAAGTGAATTTCTGGAACATATTTTTTCCAAATTCGTACAAAAGACTATCGACTAATATAAAAGTCAGAAGCTTCATCTAAACTTGATTGATAGATACAGTAGAGTCTAATATAGCTTTCACTTGTAGAAAGAAATGTGATAGGCATAGTATCTTCAAAAAAATGACAGCCTAATAGCATTTTTATTCATGCATATTTATTAAAAAAATATATGTATTTTATAACGTATTGCTGCTATTATTATAATTCCTGAAATATCTGCAAAAATTTTTCTTTCCTGAAATCTACTCGATCTCATCCTAAGAATTACTTAAGTTTTCAGAAATTATATTGCTGTTCTCAGAATTTCAATCTGAATACAGTAGCATAGTTTCCAAAATGTTAAGTAATTCTTAGAACAGGATTAAGTAGATTTCGGGAAAGAGAAATTTTTGTAGATGTTTCAGAAATTATGATAATAGCAGTAAAACAATTTCAACCCTTTTAGAAGCTAATATTTCTCCAGTAGTACCCAATTCACTGACATTCATTTTACTGGCACTAATTTCACTAACAGACTATTTCACTAACATATTTAGCCCTATTTAGGGTTAGGTTAATGTAACTGTTGGTGAAATGATATGGAACCTATTTTTCTATCCCATTTGATATTTTTACACCTATGTAAATCATTCTTTTTTAAACCTTATTAAAAGTATCTCAACAGTTAATAAATTCGATAAACTTTTTTATTTGAATTCTATAAATCCCATAGAATTCAAATAAAAAAAAGTACATTGAATTTCATTAGGTGGATGCCGAGATATCATTTATCAAAGTCAGAAGACATTTTGCTGCAACTTATATTTTAATATACGTATAAAATTTTTTAATTAAAACTTTAATCGAAGATATCTCTAGACAACTACTCTATAAAATTCGATGTACAAGATATCTTTGATCAAAATCAGATGACATTTGCTGCAGCTTATATTTTGATAAATGTTTAAAAAAAATTTTTAAAAATTTGATCAAAATATCTTGACAACTACCCTATAAAATTTGATGTACTTTTTTTTTATTTGAATTCTGTGAATTCATAGAGTTCAAATAAAAAAAAAAAGGCATAACAAAATTTATATGATGGTTATTGAAATACCTTCGATTAAAGTTTTAAAAAGGAGTGATCTACAAGGGTGCAGAAATAGGTGTGGAAATACTAACTCAACTTTTATTCATAAGAAAAAAGATTAATATAACTAATATCACTATATCAATTTATCTAGTGATGGCAATTCATGGCAATTTGAATAGTTAACTATAAATGTAAGGATATTTAAAATAGTCGCAAATGATAAAGCACGATGAGATTTTCTTCCTGTAAGTGCATGTACAATTGGTTTAATACAATTGTCTCAGTAATGATTACGAATATTTCTCTATTTTTTTTCTGATAGTGAATATATTGTTCGAAAAGCTATTTCGCAGATTTCATTATTATCAAAGGTATATTTAATGGTTAAGTATTGTTTTTCTTTACCACGCGAAGTTGTATCTTTAGAACAAGTCATTGCATGAAGCATTCCTAAAAGAAACATATTATGCTCTGTTTTTGATAATTTTCGAATATTATCAAAAATTTGAAATGCCAATTCATAATCAATTTTAGCTAAACACATTTTAGTTTCACAGCAAACTGATGTACGAAGTTTAACAAAAAAAGCTTCTTTTTCCTGCTGATCTAAAAGAACTATCACTTTCTCATCAGTTTCTTGCTCATCATCACTTTCTTTAATAGTATGTTGAGCAAATATTTTTTGAAAATTTTCAATTTGTAAAGGCGTAAGAATTTGATTATTGGATTCTTGTATTTTGTGTATATTATTATATTCTATATTTTCAAGGGATGATTCTTTTTTATTTAATGCTTCTTTAAATTCTAACTCATAATCGTTGTTTGTTTGATAGAACATTTTAAGCTGATTAAATTCTTTTGCTAACAAATATATTTCTGAATACGTTTCTAAAAAAATTAAAGAAACTAATGTATATGTTGAATCCATATTTTATGATAAGATCCAAAGAAGTCAAAGCCTAATGAATAATTTATAAGCATACAATCGAGTAAATGCAACATCAAAATTTCATATGCTATACTGTCACTTCATTCATGCAAATCATTTTTTAAGGGATGCAAAGCATGCATAAAATACATACCTGATAATGAATCAAAGTACCTAAACTTAAAACATTTTTTGTTTTCAACAAAGAATATACTACTCTAAATCTGAACGCTAACTAATTTAAGTAATTACAACAATTTAAGCGATTAAAACACAAAAACAACTATCATTGCTATTGTTAATATTCTGAATTCAATAATAACCTTGTGCTTAAATTATCTTCAGAAATACGTACGATAAGCCTTTAATCAGGTTATTATGTATAAATGCCTCATATGCATAAGTAAAAAAAAAAACTCCAATTATAATACAGTTAATTACAGGTATACCAAAAATTTGGATACAGTATAACCTCGATATAACGAACTTCGATAAACTAAATCAGCTGCTATAAAAAAGAATTTTATCATTATAGTAAGGTACCTTAATATATAGAAATATTAATATATCAAACCAAACACCCCAGCTCCAGAGCTTCATTACATCAAGGTTAGACTATAATTCAAAGATAGTCAAGTAATAGTAACAACTATAATAATTAACATTCGTATTATATAATTAATAATAAAAATTCACCGATTAATAATGCATAATACTAATTCGATATATTCTATTATAATTATCATATACGATTTTTAGTAATGAGTGAATGGCTTATTTTCATTTTTATTTGCACCAACACTATGTTCATAACAATAAGCATATTAGAATATTCTATCAAGATCATTCATACCTGTAGACTTTTTTATAATGTGAAACCTGTAATGTGACCAAGTCAGGTTTCTTCTATAAATTAATCATCAGGTGACACAGCTAAACCCACAAACGAGTGACCCAGCCAAAAAGGACAGAATAATCCAGAAGATCAAAAAGTGTGATACAAGTAAAATAAATATTAAATAAGAAAATACTGAGATTATAGTAATCAAAAGGATCATAAGAATAATAATGGTCACTAAGGTAATAACAGTTATTATAGTTATTAGAGTAATTATAGTCATAGATATAGAGCATGAACATATATATAAGAAATATTTATTATAAATAAAGGCCGAAGTGGCCCTAGTTGAGAGACAAGTTTCCCCCTTCGCTTTATTAAATAATTACTTAACTCCTTACATATAATAATTGTTCATCAATAAATAATAAATTTGTTAAACTACCTAACTCCAGTTTGTTACTAAGTAGCATAGTAATAAACTTTGTCTCTCTCTAAACCCTGTTCACGTGACCTTGCTAAATTCGATACCTGCTAGTTGTTAACCTAATGTACTTGGTGCAACTGTGGTTGATTTGTCCAGCTTGCCTGAAGTAGTGTGGTATAGCTGAGGTTAAAGAAAGATCAAAAAGTATTCGGATAGTATAAAGACCTACCTACGGAACCAACCAACTTGCCAAACCTAACATGCCTCTTTCTAGTAAAGCTTACCATAGGTTATGTGAAGAATTTGGATTATCAAGTGACTGACTCGCCGCTGTACCTAGTTTCAATAACAAATAAATGTCTCTTTTAATTCCAGCTCCAGAATATTCTAACTGGATTATTCAAATCTGATAATGGACGAATGCTTTATTTCAACTTCTTAATTCCAATTTCATGCTCATAAAAGAACCAAGCTAGAATATCTGACTGGATCATCCATAATAGCGGATTTTTGGTAATCAATAAACCCAAATAAATTCTTAACTTTAGTCCATGTTATAACAAATAACAAAGCCAAAAGATTACAGATAGATTAATTTTCGATAATAAATAGATGATTTATTTTTATTTTAACTCCAATTCTATGCTTCTAACAATAGAAAGCCTGAATGTTTTGATACTGCAGACTTTCGATAATGAACGAATATGTTATTCTCATATTACTGTAACTATAAATTTCTTAGCGTATCATTATCAAAATATTAATTTAAAATTATGCAAGTATAAACCTGATTTAAGTGTAACAGATATCAATAACATAATATATGCATTGCGAGCTGGCAAAAACTGGACTGTTATTTATTATTATTATACATGACGTATCTGATTAAAATATCTCTTTTTAGACTGAGTTTTTTTAACCAGTGCAGTATGTACGTTATTTGTAAACCTACCATAAGGGTATTCATTATATCCATAGTTAAGTAATCAAAAAAAAAATAATCAAAGTTAAGCTAAAAGTACCTGTTTTTTAGCGCACACAGACACACTATCAGAAAAGAGAATAAATTAATTATAAAAAATGAAATCGAGTCAACTTTATATTTAACTTTAAAATATTAAATTCAGGTTTATTATCATGGGATATTACTTCAACATTTTACAATAAATTTCGATGATCTATACCGATTTGCATCGAAAATATTTATCTGATCTAACTAGTTTTTTGCATCGTTTTATCTCTAACATAAAATTTTATTAAGATATCAACACTTCTTCTTTAAGTAAAAAATGTTCTTAAGCCAATTTCGAATTAGTTAAGCTTAAAAAAAAATTTTTATAAAATTGTCATTTTTCACCCTTTTTATAGCACCTAGCCCATATATATTTCTTTTTTTTTTGATACTATGTTCGAAAGTATTCAATTCTAGAATTTTTATTTTTTTATTTTTTAGAGTAATTAGAACATATGCAATCTCATTGAACATTAATACAAAATTGCAATAGGACTTTAAAAAGGATGTTTGAAAATAGAAGTTTTATTTTATGTTATTATTTATAAGTTAGGTAAGACCAATTTAATTTAGTAGTTTACATTACATCCTTCTCACAAAAGAGGATGGAGTGGGAGTGAGGGAGGGGAAGACAAAAGAGGAATTTATTATAAAAAATTTTTCTGAAAATCTGTAATATTATAAAAAGTGAGAAAGGTTGGAGTAGAGAAGAGGAGAGAAGGGGAGTAATGTAAACTATCAAATTAAACCTTATACATAATATTTATAATGATAAGACTTTTTTTTAGGATATTACAGATCTATATAATTTTCTTTATTAAAAATTATTACTAATAACATAATAAGAGGTAGAATCTATAAATATTCACAGTTTATAGATTATATATTCAATGAATATCTGTAAATTCTTTTACAGATAGTTATAAATATCTATATAAAATCTAGATATTATTTGTAAATAACAAAAAAAATCTCATAAATATTCATTGAATAGTCATGATGAATATTCAAAAGATTCCAAACTCTAAATAGACTAATAAATTTTATGATTATATTTGTTGTTAAGAAATTAATTATCGCAAAGCCCAGTATGCTTTTCAGATTCAGAAGTGATATTTTCAAGTTTGTCTTCTATAGCTCTTTGTTCAAGAATATGAGTATAAGAGCTTATCTAATTCTTTATCATAGAAGTTTTTGGAATGTCTTCCTCTTCTATTTCTCTAGTCTCAACATATTTTAAAAGTTCATCATATATAGCTTGTGCATTTACTCTCTTCTAACTTCTTAGATTTCTATTTAAGAAAAAATGTTCAAGCATAGATTTTATACTTTTTTTGATTCTAATACTACTTTTATTTCCTAATTTTTGGTTTTCTTTTAACACTTATCCTTTATACAATAGGAATCCAATATCTATTATATTGAAAATTCGATATTCTATGAGATAATTTTAATTCAATCATAATATTCAATTAGATTTTTATAACTACTTTAGCACAATAACAAAAATATCTAAAACAAATAATTTTGAATATTAAATAAGAGATTTCAAAAAGGTATATTATATTTTGATATTATTTCTTACTATTATATATTTCTTTTTTATCTTTATATTGATCTAAATTAATTGTATCTTTGAGTTTTTAAATAGTTAGAACTATTATAATATACAAAATTATTATGTTTATAATATACAAAATTGATATTATGTAGATACATACCTTCAAATTCATCATCATTTTTATCATTATTTTTATTATTATTTTCAGCTAGAATACATAAATATATTTATACTAATTTAGATTTAAATTTAAAATTATTCAACTGATTTGTAATACTTACTAGATTTTTGATTTGCTAGAATTGTCCATGTAGATTACAGAGTTATGTACTCTGATACTATTAGCTGTAGTCTATGAGGCAAAGTATTCCAAAGTTTATTTATAGATGTAGATATAAAATTATTCTATTCACCAATATGTGATAATAAACATGCATAAATATACTCACTATGTCTACCTTCTATAGGCTAATTCCAAAAAAATAGTTTTGAGATCTCTTTAATTGTTTTAATTTTAATTTTTGGCCTTTTATTATTACGAATATTATCATCATGATCTGGTTCTATATTTGCTATTATAGTTTCTGACAAATTTTTAATCACATTGCTTATATTATTATCTGTTTCCAAATTGAATTCAATTCATAAGTATTGTTTTATGGCATGTAATATCTTAAAAAAAAAAAAAAAGGTTAAGTTATATAATTAAAAAGAAAAGTATTAAACAAACTAAGCAAATTTTGAAGGATTGTAACATTTATACTAATTTATGCAGTCATATTAAAAATTGCAAATTGTTAATACTTTTAAAAACAATAATATTAGTAATAATCAAAGATACTAAACATCGCATAATATAAATCTACAATTATTTTTGCTTCTCTAAGCTCTAAAAATAACTAACTGCGAACTTCAATATTATACTATTCATGCCAATATCTGACTATTGCCATTAATTCTGAGTTATAGTAATGAGACCCATTGTTGAATATTACCTTAACCTATTTTGGCTTTTTTTCTATAGTCTTAATACAACTTCAAATACTAATACAGTAAACCAAGTATCTTGTTTAGTATCTATTGACTAATAATCATATGCATTAACATTATATTTTTCTTGATTTTCTTTAGTCAAAACTAAAGTTGTATGTAAGGTCTAATT